ACAATATAAGCCAAATTAATATGAAACCAGTCTGGAAACTGCATTAATGGTCTGTAATCAACTGCAACTATATATTCACAAAATTAACACTCTTTTAGAAATGGCAATTAGCATTGACTTTTTCTTTCCAAATAACAACAAAACCTACATCATTTCAATCTATATTCCTTTAAACCATCTATCTCTACTTAAAAGTACTCAATCTCAAATACTTACTTGGATTACAGAAGCCAAAGTCAAAAACTGACACCTGATTATACTAGGTAACTGTAATGCTAACCAATATTAAGACAAACACTTCCCAATCTTTACTGATATGAATGCTGCTAATTTAACAAGTCTTCTTACTTTTCATAATATTCAAACATCTACTTTGCATGGTTTAACTAATACAAGCCAAATAAATGACATCTGGATTTTTTCAGATATTCTACTAGTATTTGAACCTTCTTTACTTATTGATGCTTCTCATATCTCAGAAAGTGATCACAGTATCATATATACAACTTGGTATACCAACTTTAAACTACAAAAAAATTCTAGAAACAAAAAAAAAAAAAAGAAAATATATTTATATAAAAAAATAACACAAGAGACAAACTATATTCAGCATTAAAACATATTAATAAGTGTTTACACTATCTCTTTAATAATTTACTAAATAGCCTAACAAAAGCTAACCATCACTTGTTCAGAGCAACAACTCTGGCAAAAATTGATATTCTACTAATTATATAAATACAACTAAACTCTTTAGTTTTTAATATAATAACATTAATAAAAGAGCACAAACATACAATTTGGCAGACATGTAATTTTGAAAAAAAGCATGAACAAAGTGAACAAATTAAATTTTATATCAACTGAAGATACTTGAATAGCATCCTAAAAAGAAGAGCAGAACTAGTTAACTTTGAAAAAATTATTACACTAGACAAAATAGTTACCAACAAAAATGAAATCAAAGAAGCTATATATTTACACTTTAAAAATTAGACAAAAAACAATTCCTCCAATGAGAATAATTGAAATGAATAGAAAACAACATATCTTCCATTCACTAATATTAAAAACAATATTTATGATAATCTTCTTAGTTTTATTACTATAACAGAGCTTGAACAAACAATAAAAACAGCACCCAAAAGAAAAGCAACTGGACTACTAGAAATTACAAATGAAGTTTTTCAACATTTACTCTTATCAGCTTTATATATCTTCTAACAACTGTCTAATACAAGAAATTATTTCTTATCAATGACTAAAGACTAATATCTGGCCAATTCCAAAGAAACAAACCTATAACTATGAACTTTACTCTATACACTCTATTATATTAATTGATCATATTAGAAAAATCTTTACAAAAATTATAACAACTCGACTAACAAACATCTTAATGCATAACCAAGTATTATCTCTATACAACTTTATAGCCTTCTTTCATTAATCTACATTACAACCAATCCCACAACTTATACAAATTCTAGAAGATGCAGTTACAAATAAAAAAAAAATCTAAATTATTCTTTCTTAAGACATATTAAAGGCCTTTGACTCAATTTACATACCTATTTTATGCAAGGCACTTAAAAAAATATATATTCCTGACAAGGCTATAAACCTACTAGCATATTTAATCTCTCATCAAACCAACAGAGTAATTACAACTTTAGGTCTAACTACATCATACTTAGTAGAAGATGGTATTGACCAAGAAGAAACAATCTCTTCTTTTCTTTGAAAAATATATTATGACCCACTACTATCAAGAATACATAAAGAACAGCAAGGATATCTTAGTAGAATTTCTCTCCCAAGTGCAAAAAAAATACATATCTTTGTAATGACCTATATGGATGACTCTTTATGAATTGCACTAAACAAACTTCTTTCAGCAACATCATACATACTGCTTTTTTATTTTACAAACTCATTAACATAAAAGTCAATTCTTTAAAGTTCACTTTGGTTACGAACTTCTTAGACCCAGGCAATGCAATATTTTTTGATAAAGAAAAATTAATAGCAATTAACAATGGAGCACCTTTTAAATATTTGAAAGCATGGTTCTCAACTAACAAAAAACCAATACTAATACAAAAAAAAATAATAGCCAAAGTTAAAGTTAATCTATAAAAACTACAATTTACTAATATAACAGAAAAACAAACAATTTATATTATAAATAGTTTTGTTACTCCCTGCCTTCTTTATTGGTTATATTCTTCATTTCTTTCTTTTTCACAATTAAGTTTATTTAACAAAGCCTGCACCCAACTAATTAAACACAAAGAAAGTCTAGCAAAGGAATTCCAAATTCTTTTTTATTCAATTCTAACATATACATACTTGTAGATCTAATACAAGTCCAAACATCAGCACTAGTTACAACACTTTAGAAAAACCTAAACTATCCCAACTTCAATACTTTCTTTCTAAAACTATAATTACAACAACTGCAGGATACAGCATTCACAAATACCTTGATTTTAGAACAATGTTCAGAATTTTTATCATTATAAACAAATATACAAACCTGTTAGATGATATTAACACTACACATATTGGGACTGCAAACAATATATGATAGTAATAACTGGCCATATCCAAAAAAATTTATTGGAACATCTATAAACCAACTTCTTGAAAACTACTCCAGATTCTTCTATTTTAAAGAAAAACTAAACAATTATAACATTACAAGTATCAAATAATTCCTAAACTCAACAAACACAGAATTGCTAACATGGAATAACTTTTATCATAATATAAAAAAAATACTCAAAGGCCAATGTTCTTATTAGTTTTTTATAATGCAAGACCTAATAACTGCTTTTGCAAACCCATCTCTAACACTTTTAAAATCAAATCCATACACTCTAGCCAATTGGACACCTAACAAAAAAAATGAATAATTACAGAAAACTTAATTTGTGAAAAAATCTAAAATCTTTTTAAAAAACATTTCAAAATCTGATATTAAAAAAATAAGGCTTATACTTCTAAATATTGTTATTTTAACACTACAGAACCAATCTATAATCTAGAAATAGACTGTAAAAAAAGAATTCATATTGACTTGTGATTTCAAAAAAGCATTAACTTCAAACCTAATAGTAACAAATCAATCCCGAAAGCTGAAAACATATATAAACTTAGCTAGAACTTTGTGCTCCCCAATACCATTTTGGAATACAATAATACAAGATAATTTTGACAAAAAAACAGTAACATTATATATAACAAGTAGTTAACACAATATAGAAACATCATCAAAAATCTGAGTAACTCTCTCTGCATCATGAAGTACATTTTGACATAAAATTATATAAAATTTTTATATAAACTTTATCTAAAAATTATATATAAATCTACAAACCCAATGTAGATTTATATAGTTATAACTTTTATATAAATATAGATAATATATAATTATATAAAATTTTAAATAATAGTTATTTAAATTTTTATATAAACTTAATAAAATAAAATTTTATATAGAGTTTATTTAAATTATATATAATTTTTCAAATAGAGTATAAATAAAAATTTATATAAAATTTAATTTTATATAAGGTTTATATAAATATTACAAAATTTGTACATAAAATTTAAATAAATTTTTTTATAAAATTTAATTTTATATTGAATTTATATAAAGATAACATAATTTTTAAATAAAATATTGCATACATATATATTTAAGATTTATTGTATATAAGAATTTATTTAAAGATTACTTAATTTTTAAATAGATTATAAATAAAATATTGCATACATATATATAATATTTATTGTTTATAAATATTGTATACTTTTTAGATAATAAATTATTGTTTAAATATAGCAAAAAATGCATTTTCTATTATGATCATACAATGTCTCATGATTTGGTGATTCGTGCATTTGCTTCAAACTTCATTTTTATTCATTATCTTCGCTATCAGATGTGCTTGAATCTCTTTAATCATTTTCAGTATTCTTTTCAATACAATTGTGCTATTATAAATTAGAAACAAAAAAATTAAGAAAAGGTATATACTGCACTAAGATATAGTTCATTTCCCAATATTTATTTTCTCTACAAGTCATTTATCCACATTATGCAGTTAATAATTTACTAACTATATACAGTTACAAGTAAAAATAATTATGACCAATGACATGATACAGTTGACAATCAAACTCGATATTAGCTTTCAAAAACCAGACAATCGAAAGCCCAATGCATAAGAGCAGAGCATAATCAAAAAACATAGCTTTTAAAATAATAGGATTAGATGCATGAATTAGAGGAACTAGTGTTAAAGAGAGAAAAAGGAAATGTCAGTAAGATGGCAAAGATCCAAAAAGATAAATAATAGGTAGTCTTACCTGGTGGAATAGAGAAACAATTAGTAGTAAAAAATAGTGGATTAAAAGTCCTAAAATAGAATAAATTGTAAAAAAAAAATGTATAAAAGCAACAACAAGTGATTAATAAGAAAAAACTTATCTTTTGCAGCCCTCTAATAGAAAGACTAATGTTTCTATACAAAAATTAGAAAATGATAGTAATTGTTATATTAAACCCCAAACTTAAAAATAGTAAACAATATTCAGCTAAATCATATTTTCACACCTTTAGTATAAAGTGCTCAGAAGTTCCTTCTTCAATACTTACAACTTTAGATGTGCCATTTATATAATATCTGAATTTTTTGTGTACAGTATGTTTAATTATTTGTTATAGAATATTCTAAAAAATTTTTTGCATACTGTACTCTATGTGACACATCACTACTTACAATATACCAAAATGCTAATACTGATTCTACATGATGTTGGTAAATGACCTATGAGAAAAGTGACTGTCAGGAAAATAAGCAATTACTTACCAAGAAAGAGTGCAATTTTCTTGTTAAATATTTTTCATCAAATTTAATCTTAACAATTTCAGGATTAAACAAATTGTGCAAGATAGACCAGGTTACAGCATATTGATTCTTTGTAGGTTGTCAGCCAAATACTTTCTTAGCAACCATTTGATAATAGGTCTTATCCTCTTCTTCAATCATAGTGTTCAAATTTTCAAAACACCATTGTACCTCTTTATTTGATTTCCAAGAAATTATTTCTGTTTCAGAACTTTCTGAATTAACAGTTTGTAAAATCTTATTTTTAAAGACATGCTTAAACACAGCATAATAAAAAGACCTGAATAAAGCCCCACAATATTTGCACAATTTAGCACTGATCTATGCATAAAATTTAATTAAGTTATATAATTATGAAACTTATATACTAAACTATTATTTACCGAATTTTCAATCTTGCTATACAGTGTCTCCTATCTAGAACATTTTTTATACCACATCATTTTGTCTGGACAAAGCTCTTCAAGTTCTTTGTAAATGGATTCTTCATAAACTTTGTCATTAGGATAAAGCCAATTATCTATAGAAAATTTAATACCTTGTGTCACTCTTTTCTATAAAAATTTTTATTCATTCTTTTAAATTAAATTAATTAATTACACAAATCACATAATTAATACCTTATTATAATCAACCAAGTATCAAAATAAATGATATGTTTAATTAAAAGAGAATGATAATAAAATATTTATATATCTGCCACCATTCATGATCATTATCTTTTGTTTTGACTTTAAATTTTTATACGAATATTGTAAAACCTTAATGTCACTGGCAAGTTGAGTAACTGTAACTTCTAAAGTTCCTTGCTTTTCCATAATTGAGGTGTTTTGAATTAATATTTTGTTAGTAATTTCTAGTAATGTATTTATTGCTTTATTTTCTTTGTCTAAAACTAATTAATTTAATAGTTAATATTTCACTTATAAAAGATAATCTAAAATGCAATAAATTTTATATATTTCTAACTCTGACTTTGATTTGTATTGACAGACAATTCTTTCAATATATTATTAAAGATTTTGTTAAATGGAGACCTAGATGGGCTTTCAACAATTTCATAAGAGTCTGATAAAGAACAAAAAGAATCTTGAAAATTATTATTGTCATTATTCTTAACATTTTCAACATAGTTTTTTTTTGACTTGTACAATGCTTTATTTCTTTGAGGGCATTGACTAGTGAGTTTACTTGTGTTTTGTTATTTTTTAGTAAATAACTTTGAGGAGCCAGTTTTTAATGCATCTAATATCTGAAAATAAAAAAAAAAAAGAATAAAAAACATTAGTATAAAAATTCATATGACTGTTTAAAAGCACTTATTTATTAATTATCAAGGCAACTTCATTCTGTTCTGAGCCAAGTCTTTGTTTTCTACTTTTAGAAGGCATAAAGGTTTCTTGAAAGAGTTTAAAGTTATTGACCACTGCCTTTACTAAGTTTTAGAGAAAGAATTTTTACTGAAAAGGTTTTTTGGAAAAGTTTAAAAGTTGCTAATCACTACATTTATAAAATTTCAAATTAGGAATTTTTACTTTATAAAGTAAAAATATGATACTGTAAGTAATCGATCTAATAAATAAAAAATCAACATATAATGGATAAATAAAATAGTATAATTATTAATAGGAACCATTAAAATTGGCATTGCACACTTATCAGTATAAGAGTACTTAATTGTTACATAACTAATGATATAAAAGTTACAACAAATGTTAATAATTATCTAGGTTAAAATGTGTGCTGATTAAGCACCTTGTACTGATAAGTATGTCATTAATCAAAATGTGCTTTAGTGAAATTTGACAAAATAATAAAAAAATCAGGTTATATCTAATTGTAACATGTTATCTGTAACAATTTAGCTTATAATTAGTAAAGTAATATGCATTTGATTAATGTTACACTAGGTCACAATTAGACATGACTTAATTTTTATATCATTTATTTAACAATTTGTCAGCCTTACTTAGGTATGTTTTGATTGATGATGCAGATAAAAAAAAAATAAATCAAAATTTTGATACCAAATTTGATTTGTATGTATCAAAAAAATAATTCTTTTTATACATTTTTATTATGCATAATAGTTATCTTTTTGATGCATCATATCTGAACAATAATTTTTACTACAATATACATTATTTTGTTTTCTAGTTTAATGTGTAATTATGTAATTCTATGTAATTCTAAACTAATAATTATATGTTAAATATTCAAATTTTACTTCAGATCTATCTTAATCTTTTCTTCATATTCATATGCTGTATTTGTGAAAAAGAATTTAGTCATCTAACAAGCCTCAAAAATCATAAAAAGGCTCATAAAAAATGCCATCAAATTGAAGATGAATCTAGTACTGATACAGCCACTAGTACTGATATAGCTACTAGTTCAGATAAGAGTAAGGACAGCTATATTTCTGATAAATCAGAAATAATAAGCAAACATAATAATAAAAAGGGCATAATTGTCAATAATGACTCAATATTTGAGCACCAAGATATTTTTGATGAGTCTTACTTAGTATTTAATATGTAAAATATTTATCTTGATTTAATGCTTAATAACCAGAAAACTGCCAACAAGTCTGATTCAATGTTTAATGATTAGGAAATTGTCAGTGAGTCTGATTCAATGTTCAGTGACTAGAAAACTGTTAAAGACCAGGAAACTGTCAGAGAGTCTGAATCAATGTCTGATGATAAATCTGTTTTATTGTCTGATAACCAAGAGACTAATAATAAGTGCATTCCAATGTTTGATAATCATGATATTACTAATAAATCTATCTCAATCTTGAATAAAAATAATACTGATGAGTTTGACCAAATATTTGAGAGGGATATACTAAAAAATTATGAAAAAACTGATAATAAATTCTGGAGCAATGATAGTAAATATAATAATGTGAATTTTCCAATGTCATATATCAGGATTTTGTAAATATAAGAACTATTATGCATATATATATATTTTGTTTTTAAAATCAGATATTTGAAATCTAAATTATATTTATTACCAATATTAGATAATCTGACATTAACTTTCTTATAAGACAGGCAATGCTATATTGAAGTTTGTAAAAAAATATAGCCAGATTCCAAAAAAAATCTTGCCTAGATTAACTAAAGAAAGTCTTCATTTCTTGGATTTCTTAGAAAAAATTATACAAAATTTTTTTTAACTCCTGTTACACAAGTCAGAGGTCAAACATATTTGTTTAAGTATTAGCTAATAATTTTAGCTGTTAGAGAAATTCTCCAGAATCAAGAAATCACGATAAACTATTTTTTTGATTATTAGAAGATTTATGTATCAAATGAGGCATGTAAAGTTTATAGAAGTAATGGTATTACTAAATTTCAATATATATATATATATTAAGAAGGCGACCACTTTTGTTTTTAACCTTCTTGATACTTAATATTTATAATTGGCAAATTTTGAATGAAGAAATATTATATATTGTCATATATGTATTAAAGTTGAATTATAAGACCATATAAATTTAATAAATCAGTTCTTATAACCTAGTTAAGGCAAACTTTAAAAAGATTTTTTGATAATATTTACTATCTGGATGAGCTTTTTTAAAAAATTAATAGAATATGAAATTTTCTGAAAATAAAATTAAGTGCCAGGTTATTTTTTAAAATTTTATTTTAAAACATATTCACCTTTTCTATGGAAAATTTACTATGACCCTATACTCTATTTTATTCAAAAAAAATACAAAAACCATTTATTAAAAATTTTATGTCAATCTCCTATTGATATCATAACAAATACAACATCTTTTTCAATAACAATTCTACCATTAGCTTTTATGGATGATACAACCTGGCACTGTAAAAGTACAAATATAATGCAAAACATTATAAATGATATCTTTGAATTATACAAATTCAATAATATAGAAATTAATATCACTAAATCAGACCTTTTGTATATTAAATCCAAATTCATATTAAACCCAACTTCCACTCTCTTAATGGATCAACAAAATATTACATCTAGAAAACCATAAGATGTAATTTAATATCTTGGTATTTTCTATTATGGCCAAGGATCTTCTAAACCAAATTCAAAACAAAATCAAAAGCTTCCTTACTTTTATTCGATACAAAAAAATAACACCTTTACAAATTTCATCACTTTTTAATTTAATTCTACAACCTTCATTAAAATACTTACTCAAATTATTTCAGTTCATACAAATACACAAACTAAATTTTCTCACCTCTTTACTACCTATACCAAAAAAATGCTCTTTTTAGCAAAAAACACTAACAATATAATTCTCACTAACCCACTCATCTTTAATTTACCAACTTTTAACAATATCATTCAAAAAGTCGGTGCAGCTAATACTGAATGAATATTCAATATACTACCAATTCTTGAAAATATAGGCATCTAACAAATTAAAAGATGGCTTACCAAAATATAGTCATCTTAACTTTCACTAAAAATCTTAACTAACCACTACTGAAAAATGCAAAATTACACTATACTTTTCTACCTCTCCCAACTAGGCTTTAATGAAATCTTACTCTCAATAATCTCCCAAATCACACTCTTTTTATTATTAATACCAAAAAATACTCATACTATTTTTGACATCCTTCCTGTCAACCCATCTATGTCTATTATCAATAGTCTTAGAAATAACAAAATTATCTTTTTAGAATAAATCACAACTGCAAATAACAAAAATATTCTTACATAGAACAATATATACTTACCTACAAATAAATCTAATAAAGGTTGCTAGCCAAAATGGTTTACTCAAATTTTACATTTAAACCAATCTAATACTATAACCCAAACTTGGCCTCACATAAGCCTTCCTCTTATCAATATCTTCCTGGATACAATTAAACTAATATCACCACCTTCATCCTCAAACTCTCATTATTTTCATTGTATATATTATACAAATAACCATTCACTATATATTTCCCAACAAACCTCTCTACAACAATTATCACTCTTTGAAATTTCTATGCTCACTTCAGGATTCTCTCAACTACTACCAACTATTAACCACCCAACACCAAATTTTTATTCATTCTTTCTACCTTATAACTCAATCATCAAATCAAAAAATTCAATAACCATTCAAATTAATTTTAAAGAAATCTTAGCTCTAATTTAAATACATAGCACCACTATTATCCAATCAACTCCATCAATACAACCACAAATAATTCTTTTATCATATGAAGCTCAACTTATCCAACAACT